TTCTATCTTAAAGATGATCCATAAAAGAAGTTTCAGACTTTCATGGAGCCATGTCAAATTTCAAGTAATCTTTACCATCTTTCATATTTCAAGGTTAATCTTTCAGTTATGGTTTTTTGCATCCATTTTTTATTGCCATTTAGGTCTTCCTAAAAATGGAGTGACAACTGGCAAACATTACCAGACTAGATTAAAAACACACACTGCTTTAAGGACACCTTTACATACAATCAACAAGTGTAGCTGTATAATGCTAAGGAATAGCAGCAGACAGAAGTTGTATTAACACATATAGGTAACACCATTAGAAACATCAACATCAAATAGAAAGTTGTCCATGTGTAATGTCACAGTATGTGGACTACTGAATGAAACTTGTCTTTGTTCTTACTATGTTATGAATTATGGACTGAAAATCCCTTTCCCCATCCTCTACATGCATTCTACTTTTGGCCCAGGTAGCGTTGGTAGACATCAGAGCCATTTGAGGCTGTCTGAGAAAAGAAATTTGTGATCCTGAAGCATGGTAACAGCCCTCCATATAGTTACCAGGAAATGATGAATGTGTGAGTGTATAAACACATACAGACATATATGTGTGTGTGTGTGTGTGTGTAAATGTATTACACACATATATGTGTGTAAATGTATAGACATAGATATCTATATCTATATCATATCTATCTCTATATCACCTATATAGATATACCTATATAGACATTTACACACATGCATGCTTAATAGGGTTACACTACTTAGCAAGCTTCCCAGGACAGATCATTCTCAGTTCCCTCACTTAAAAAATGAGAACACTTGAAGGTCATATGATTTCAGAGAAGGAAGGATTCTGAAGAGTGCCTACTTCAAAATTCTCTTTACTAGTGGTAGTAGAGGTCGTGATAGTGGCAGTTGTGATAAGAATATCATCATTATTTAAAAAAATTCCAAGGCCACCAGAGACTAAGTGATCTACTAAAGGTCGTATATCTAGTTAACATTAGATGCAGGACTAGAATTCAAGTCTCTCAACCTTAGTTCAGTGTATGTCATGATATTATGACTGATTATTGCATGGAATGTAGCTCCTTTATTTTCCCTTCCTTTCATTATTGATGTTGTTGTTATTTTTAAATTTTGTTTTAAAAAAATCTTTTTAGCTTGCTGCTTTTTGATCAAGAGGAAAGTCTATAATATCATCCTCTAAATCAGTCTCATCTGAGCATCATTGTATGTTGGATCTAAATTTGATTTTTCTACATATAAAATGTCTTAAAAAATAGGCAGATACACTTTTGTGTGTAGAAATTTTATTTAAGAAGTTACTGTAAATTAGAATGATACCTTTTCATCCAGCCTAACGTGGCACTACATGAGAGATTTGCTTTTTTACAACTTTGGTAAAATTTAGGGATAACATTTATAAATTTAAGCAGACTACCAACAAGAGTGATACTAGTAAGCTCCCAAAGGTTATAGATTATATAAGACTACATGGTTTTAGTAGAATTTTCTAGGAAAAGATATGCCAGAACAGAATTGAAGCTTGATAAAATTTGACAAATGCTGGTAAATTTGTATTTCTTTCAGAATTATTTCTTTTTTCTTAACAAAGGTGTAATTTCTCTTCTTTAGCGGTCTACCAAAAAGATCTTTTAAGTTTCCTAAACAGCCATATATTAAATTTAAAACATTTTCAGATGGCTTTATGATTAATTTTTAGGGTAGTAACATTCTGACACTTTATTCACATTTTTATTTATTCAAAGATATCTTTAATATCTGATTACATGCCAGGCCTTGTGATCAGCTCTGGGGATATACATGGTCTCTGCCCTCACACAGTTGCCAGCTTGGCGGACATCTTTTCTGTTGTATTAGTTTTGAGAGAAGATGCCGTAAGTTCAGAAAGTCAAAACTGAAATCAAGATAATTCATCATCAAGGCAACACCGTATTTCAATTAAAAGACAAAATTCTGAGTTTTACAGGTTTGTATAGTTAGCATCAGTCTATTAATTACCAATTGCAGATGTCGTATACTTTGAAAAATTATCATTTGCATTTTATTTATCTTGAAGAAATATACTCACAATAATTTATGAAACAGGGGAGATTGCTTGTAAGCAATGAAGCTGCATTGAGTTATAGCCCTTACACATTAAAATGATCTAAATTTTATCACAACCCAACACATTTCCATCAAAGCATTACAGCAATCACTCTTTTTTTATTATTTTGAAAAGAGTATACTTCTAAGCCTGGGATTGACAGCTTTAAAGACTAGCAATATTGTTTTTGTTATTTCTTCATTCGGGGTTTGAAATAGGAGCTTTCTCAGTACCTCAGGAGAATTTGTTATAGTGTAAAACTGATGATTATTTTAACACAGTTGTATAAAAACATTATGATTGTATCAATATGTATTAAGTTACTGAGATTGTGTCAAATTATAATTAGTGAGACTAAAATGTTGACTCCATTTTCAGTCTTCCACTTACACAAAATAACTTGCGTTATAATTTTCTGATCTAATTGAAATGTTGAGCTTAAGTCAGACATTCTGGGTTCTGGTTCCTATTTGTATAATAACTAGCGCTGTGATTTTGACCAGCTCACTTCATCTCTCTGCATCTCATTTTATTCATGTATAAAATGAGGACTCGACTGGGATAGCCCCTCACTTCCACTCAAATTCTCACAGTCTGTGTTTTTTCTTGGATAATCACTATTATCATAAACTATCATTTTAGTCCTGGATGGCAAGTCAAAATTTAAAAAGCTTCTCTTTTCCTTTATTAATTATAAAATAGCAAGATTCTTAGAAAGACAACTTCCCCCAATACCTTCATCACCCCACCTGATGCTGAAATTGTTTTGAGCAACAATTACATCATCAAAGCCTTAGAATGGGATCCTTAGCTTCGGGGTCAGTTATACCTTGAAAGATATTTTATTTAATATTAAACACTTTTACATAATTATTAGAACTCTTCTTATTTTTCACATCTCTGCCCGCTCTGCTCCATTCTCACTTCATTTTCCTTTACTAGTGTTATGCTCCTCTTCTCTTCCCAAATTTGACATCTGAGACTTACCCTTGACTACTCTCTCTAACCTCCACCTCATTTATTCAATCATCAAATCATTTCTCCTTTATCATATTTTTGTACAGAAAAAACAAACTGTTTACTTCGTACACTTCACTTTTGATATTAGATGGGTTATTTTTTTTTTCACATCAAGCAATTCTTCAGTTCTCGGTGGACACCTGCTGTGTGTCCTACAATTCAATTCAGTTCTGCCACTATCTACCAGGAGTTAGCATTAGATCCCACAAGTTGAGGGCTCAGTCCCACAAGACTGCCTCCATTTAAAAGACCAATCACAAGTCCCAGGTTGTCACCTGTACTCCTGACCAACCAGCTATATGTTGGGATTCTCATGACCTCCTTGTTGGGTTTGATAATCTGCTAGAATGGCTCACAGAACTCAGAGAAACATTTACTTACATTTGCCAGTTTATTATGAAGGATATAATAAAGGATACAGATGAACAGTCAGATGAAGAGGTACATAGGGCAAGATCTGGAAGTGTCCTGAGGACAGGAGCTTCTGTTCCTGTGGAGTTGGGATGCACCACCCTCCTGGTACATGGATATGTTCACAAACCTAGAAGCTCTCCAAATCCTATATTTTGTTGATTTTTATGGAGGCATGATTGATTATTAACTCATTCTCCAGCTGCTCCTCTTTCCTCCCAAGAGAAGACACAGGGACACTAAAAGTTCTAGCATTTGAATCATGACTTGGTCTTTCTGTGACCAGCCCTCATCCAGGAGCCTTCCAAGAATCCCCTCATTAGAACAAAAGATGCTGCTGTCACTCAAGGAATGTCAAGGGAGTTAGAAGCTCTATGTCCAGAACCCAGCACAGAGACAACATATTTCTTACTATTTCTAAGTTTAAACATTTGATTTTTCATTTCCTCACTGCCCTCATATTCTAGTACATGTTCTCCAAAGTTTGGCTTATAAACCACACACATCCAAATCCCCAGAATTTTATAATTGGAATAACTTGAAACACCTGTTAATGTAGGTTTGATGGGGGCGGGTGCGTCCAGACCTTCAGAATCGAAACTCTGAGGCTAGGATTCTAGAGACCTACACTGTTATACCCGTTTCAACATGCCTATGAAGAATTCATATTCTTTTATACAGACTGGATGTAGGCTAAAGACTAATGTGTACTGAACTACTTTTGGACGGCTGCCTTTACATACTCTGCCCAGATCACATAGCACCTTGCTTTAGAATAGAATAGAGCATTACCTGACACCTCTTATACTCAACCTTTGATGTTTCTGTCAAAACTCAAAGGCAGTAGGAAAAGTCTTGTTTAACATCTGTTACACTTAATTTAATTCATTTTTGTTCTATCTTTGTAAGATTTCTAAATATTAATGAATACATGATTAGTTAATTTAGGCATAATTAGCTTCATCACATTTTATTTTTTTCTTACTCAGACTTAGCTGAGAAAATACAATATTCCCTGACAAAATTCTCTAGCTGTTTCAGAATTAGGCACCTGAGGTTCCTAATTTTCCATGGTATCTTTTTTCTTACTATCCTCTTAATCTTTGTACTTAATTAAGTTGCTTTCTTTGTCTCATAGAGGATCTTTTTTTTGTAGGCAGAACTTTCCATAATATTATGATTGATTGTATTTGTTCTCTAAAACTTTTCGATCACTGTTGCTACTGGTAACACACACACGCACACACATACCCAACTTAGGGTACCAGAGCATTGTAAGAGAGAAATTGGTTGTCTTAGGGAAGGCTTTAGCTGCTGATATAAAAGTGATGGTGGCAGAATCTTTGGTAGCATGTGGGCAGTCCTCCTACCAGGCTATCTGGAAAATGATCATTTTATTTAAAACCTACAAGTGTTTCTGTGGAGAAAAGATGTTAATCTCTAAATTACATTTTCATTACAGACGTAGTGGAGATGAATCTCAGAAGTGGGTGTTTGGAACTGATGGTTGCATTTATTCAAAGGTAAGGACTTTGTAAGCCACAACTTTTATGCCCAAGTTTTTCTATTCCCAGATTCTTATAAAATGTACTGTGTATTGTTCAGAGCAAGAAATGCTTTTTCTGCATATATGACTTCACTCTATACCTAGAAATTTAGAATTTAACTTAACTCCATAATTTCCTTTAACTTTTTTTTTAAAAATTTAAAATACACATTTTCTAAAGTCAAAAATAATTTTTCCTAATTCATTGCTATAATATGACCCAGCATTTTAGGGCATCAGTTTTCTTCTACATTGAAATGAAGAATTTGGTACTACCATTGAACATGTCTAGACAGCCCAGCAATTCCCCTACTAGTCATATGCCAACAAATGATCATATGCTTACATATATTAAGGAAACAGTATTTAATAAAATGTTAATAGCAATACTAATTCTAGTAGCTTCAGAGTTGTGATTACTCAAATGGATGCCAGCAATAGAAGGGATAAATAAATTGTATTATACACTGTGTATTCATTGGAATACTATATGGCAGGGTTGGCAAATGTTTTTCTGGAGAGCCAGACACTGAATATTTTGGGGTTTATGGGCCATATAATCTCTATCTCAACTTCTCCACCTTGCCTTTTTAGTGCAAAACAATCACAGAAAATATGTTAATGAATGGATGTGTCTGCATTTCAATAAAACTTTATTTACAGAAACAGATCAAGGTCTGTTTCTCATTTCTAAGATTTCATCAGAATGGCCTTTACTATCTATATTTCTACTAACATTCTCATTCCCAACCACTTGATTAATCTCTAAAAAGCTTTAGAGTTTCCCAAGGTGGCAGATGAGAGGCTTCTCCAGCATTCCTCACCCGCTTGGAAGAAGCAAAACAGTGTGTAGAGATTCACACTGTGAAGTTTTATCCAAGAAGGAAAACAGCTCAACAGACAAGCAAAAGAAAACTTAGATGCTGGGAAAGAGAAGGTGGTTAGGCAGCCTGCTTGGTGAGGTCTAGCTGAAAATGGCAAGTGAATCCCCAATATGGGAGAGGGAGAGTGAGTGTCTCTATGATCTACCCTCTCCCTGGGGAGCCATGTAATTCAGGCAGTGCAGGCCACAGAAGAGCATCTTGAGCCTCCCAAGCCCTGGATTTCACACTGGGACACTGTGTGAGAAAGAATGACGCTGGAAAGTCTATCACCCGCTTTCCTAGACATGGACACCAATAAGAGGATCTGAAAAGCAATAGAGAAATCTGAACACAAATCCAGGATTGATGAGAAATGTATCAAGGACATATATATCTCCAAACAAACAGCAGTTGGGCATGGTGACTCATACCTGTAATTCTAGCCCTTTGGGAGGCCAAGGCAGGATTGCTTGAGCCCAGGAGTTTCAGGCCAGCATGGGCAACATGGCAAGATCCCATCTCTAAAAAATTTAAAAATTAGCCAGTCCTGGTGGTGCATGCCTGTGATCCCAGCTACTCAGGAGGCTGAGGTGGGAGAATTGCTTGAGCCCAGGAGGTCAAGGCTGCAGTGAGCTGTGTTCAGGCCATTGCACTCCAGACTGGGTAACAAAGTGAGATCTTGCCTCAAAATATAAAAATTAAATTAAATAAACAAACAGAACATCTGGAAATAAAATTTTCATTGAAAGAATTACAAAATACATTTGAGAGCTTCAACAATAGACTAGATCAAGCAGAAGAAAGAATCTCAGAACTTAAACACAGGTCTTTGGAATTAATCCAGTCAAACAAAAAAAAAAAAGAAGAAGAAAAAGAATAAAAAAGAATGAATGAGGCCGGGTGCAGTGGCTTATGCCTGTACTCCCAGCACTTTGGGAGGCTGAGGCAGGTGGATCACCTGAGGTTGGGAGTTTGAGACCAGCCTGGCCAACATGGAGAAACCCTGTCTCTACTAAAAATACAAAATTAGCCAGACGTGGTGGCACATGCCTGTAATCCCAGCTACTGGGGAGGCTGAGGCAGGAGAATCACTTGAACCCGGGAGGTGGAGATTGTGGTGAGTCAAGATCGTGCCATTGCACTCCAGCCTGGGCAACAAAAGTGAAACTCTGTCTCAAAAAAAAAAAAAAAATGAATGGGCTAGGCATGGTGGTTCATACCTGTAACCGAGAGTCCCCGACAGGGGACTAATGTCTCGAATTTACAAGGAACTCAGCAACAATATAAGCTAAAACAGATAACTCCATTAAAAAGTGGGCAAAGGACATGATAGACATTTTTCAAAAGAAGACATACAAACGGCCAACAAGGGTGTAAAAAATGCTTAACATCACTAATCATCAGAAAAATGCAAAATTAAAATCAAAACAAGATACATGTTACACTAGTTAGAATGGCTGTTATGAAAAAGACAAAAATAACAGATATTAACTGGGATGCAAAGAAAAGGGATCACTCTTGGTGGAAATGCAAATTATTATAGTGCAACCTCTATGGGAAGCAGTATGGAGATTTCTCAAAGAACTTAAGATAGAACTATTATTTCATCCAACAATCCCACTACTGGATATCTACCCAAAGGAAGAGAAATCATTGTATCAAAAAGACACATGCACTCATATGTTTATCACACTACTATTCACAATAGCAAAGATATGGAATCAACCCAAGGTTCTATCGGTGAACAAATAGATAAAGAAAATGTGGTATATATACACAGTGGAATACCATTCAGCTGTTAAAAAGAATGAAATAATATATTTTGCTGCAACATGGATACAACTGACAGAGACCATTAAGTGATACAACTCAGAAAAAGAAAGACAAAAGCCATATGTTCTCACTTATAGGTGGAAGCTAAATAATGTGTACACATGGACATGGAGTGTAGAATGATAGATATTGGAGACTCAGAAGGATTGGAGGATGGATAATGAGAAATTACTTAATGGATGCAATGTATATCATTCAAGTGATGGATGCACTAAAAGCCCAGACTTCACCACTACGCAATATAGCCATGTAACAAAATTGCACTTGTGCTCCTTAAATGTATACAAATAATAACAATAATAATAATAATAATAATAATAATAAAGATTTAGGCTCTGTCTACAGCTCTTCACTTCAGAGTTGTCACCTGAATCACCCTTTATGATCCATTTATGGTAATATAGGCTTTGTCAGTCCTGCTCTTTCAAAGTCTCACAGCCTCTGTTCATTACCTAGTTCCAAAGCTGCTTCCACATTTGTAAGTATTTGTTATAACAACACCCTACTTCTGGGTATCAGTTTGTCTCATTTGTGCTACTGTAACAAAATGCCACAGACTGGGTAATTTATAAACAATATAAATTTATTTCTCACACTTCTGAAGACTGGGGAGTCCAAGACCGAAACGCCAATAAATTTGGTGTCTGGTGAGGGCTGCTGTCTGCCTTGTTGCTACATCTTCTGGAGGGGACAAGTGCCGTATTCTTCCATGGTAGAAGGGACAGAAAGGATTGAACAAACTCCCTTGAGCCCTTCTACAAAGGCCCTAATTCTATCCATGAGAGCTCTGCCATATGACTCAATCACTTCATAAAGGACCTACCTCTTAATACTATCATATTGGCAATTAAGTTTCAACATATGAATTTTGGGGGACACATTCAGACCACAGCAAATGACTTTTGTGTGGAGTGTCACCAGCTAAGCACTACCCTATGGACAGCTTCCCGTAACTCCAAAGTCAGTTTACAATGAATCCTACTGGTGCCACCTCTCAGTGACTTCTTTGACATCCAGTGAGACATGGCTGTGCCCTCTCTGATGTGAACTGGATCTCAGTCATGAGTCAGGCATCTTTCTGTACCTTCCATTTCCCCTATACCTGCCATTCTTATATTCTCTAGTGTTCTCTTTAACTATTACTAGCCACTCCAATCCCCTGTTACTAATGGTTTATGTTCAACTTTCCCTCTTTGAGTACTATGTAGTTTGTATCTCCTTACTGGACCCTGACTGATAAGCATGGTAATTTTATTCCTCTACTGTTCTAAAATTATATCACAACTTGCATCATTTTAGAAATTCAGAGTTTTATACAATTTAAATGTAAAAGTGTATTATAATAACATTTCCTTCCCTGAATAGTTATTTGTTGGTACACCAGCTAAAATTTCAACCCATTTATTAACCCAACTCAAACTATTTACCTCTAGTTCTGTTCATAGAAGGGAATTTGACACATCAATGAAATGTCAAAGCTTTTTAAGGATTATCTTTACTAACTTTGCTCAAGATTTCACTCCAACTTTCCTCTTACTCATCCCTCATACCATTTATAATCTTTACCATATTCCTGAGCCAGAGTGAGGCTCTAGGTAGATGAAGAAGGAGTCTTATACTTCTTGGTAAAAATTGAAAGTAGAATTTTTAGACAATACCAAAATCTCTCTCCAGCTGTTTGGCTTGTGCCTGCACATAATTATGAAACATACATGAACACAGTTGACTCATATTACCCAAGAACATAATTCCATCCTATCCAAATCTCGCTCTTTCCATCAACACACATAGAAGAGCAGAATCAAGTTTTAAGTGTACTTTCTCATTTTCTTTCCCCAAAGTTAGGTGCCTACATATCCTCTGCTGCTCAGCTACTCTTTTTACCTTTCTTTTTCTCTCATTTTACAATTTTTAAATTGTTCCCAACAATACTATTGCTGATTATCAAATGATGCATACTTTTATGCTTCAAACACAAATTATTTTCAAGAAGGTTTTGTTTCTAAAACTTAATTCCCAAACACAATCACTGATGTTTTTACAATAGCTACTCTAAATTCCCAAAGCAAAACTATTTATTAATGAGGCATTTCATTCTTTTAGAGGTTTAGAAATTTTGATTAGCTCTAAATTTAGTCATATTCAAAACTATTTCCATCTAGTTAAGGATAAAATGGAGTATAATTTGATAATTATTTGCAGCTGGATCATAAATGGAGCTCATGTTATTTATTTTATAAAAAGGCAGAATTACTGCTTTAGGATATTAATAACTAATCTT